GCACCAGCTGCCGGGAAAGTCGAACGGTGCAATGGACTACTTAAAACAACCATTAAAGCATTTGGTAGGGGGATCTTCAAAAACTGGGAACTGAATTTAGCAAAAGCCACCTGGATGGTCAACACAAGAGGCTCCATCAATTGAGCTGGTCCCAGCCAGTCTGAACTCCTACACACAATGGAGGGAGATAAAGTCCCTGTGGTACACATGAGAGGTATTTTAGGAAAGACTGTTTAGATTAGTCCTATCTCAGGCAAAGGCAAACCCATTCATGGGATTGTTTTTGCTCAAGGACCTGGTTACACTTAGTGGGTAATGCAGGAAGATGGGGAAACCCCTTGTGGACCACAAGGAGACCTAACTTTAAGTGAGAATTGTGTATAAGGCTTTTATTGTATATGTATATGTAGCGAGTAAGGAAGATATTGATTAGGTTATGATGTAGATGATAATAGAATAAGAGGTGGATAATGTCCTAGGTTACAATGTAGGGTGTAACCAGTGGTATGTATTATGTCTTGCACAAGCTGTTCAAGCAAGTGGGGCAGTGATCATTATTGCCTCTTCCCTGATGGGTCCCTCAGGGGCTTTCTCTGTTTAATGGGCTGTCTGGGACCCAGGGCATGCATGGAATTACATCATCCCATTGTGAGATGCTTCACCCCAAGGGGGGAGCCAAGCATTCCCACATGGATATAAGCTGGGGTTTGGACCAGCACAGGAGCCCTTTGCCTGCTGGATCCCCAGAGGACAAGAGCTGCTGCTGGACCTTCAGGAGAGGACCGGGTCTGTGGGATCACTGCTCCAACAGACCCATCACTCCAGGAGGACTGCAGCACCATTTAATTGGACTACTACCAACATCCTGACTGACAGGGTGTTAGGTTACTTTCTGACTCTTGACAGTGATTGCTTTTTGTCCTGTTGCATTTATTGTTTCATTTTTCCTTATTAAATTGGATTTCTGACTTGGAGTTTCTCACTGGTTTGCTTTCAAACCAGAACAATAAGGCAAATGTTAGCTTTTCAAAAAATTAAAACAGTGGAATTTAATCGTGTTCTCAAACTATATTTTTTTATCTATTTTGTCGTTCTCTTGTAATATTAAATCTAAGAGTATGAAATTGTCCTTTTTACTTTTTCTGTATATTGGCAACAGCTAGAGGTGTTTCATGGATGTGCTCTACTTAGAACATCCAGTGATGGAACATAAAGTCTCTTCTTACATGTATCTAATATTACCTACCACAATTACATGTAAAGGTTACTGTTTTCCAAGAAACTCTTCTGTTCCTCCTGGAAGTGAAAGGCAGGCAGGCTGCAGCTGAAAAAGTTCACACCCCTAATGCTTCACAGATGTACTCTATTCTCAACGTTCCCTGGGTTGCTCATTCACTTATATACAATAGCTTTTTTTGTCTGTGTATATGAATATCCTAGTCAGTAAGTGTTGTAATGTTTTGTAAGAAAAGGCAAAGAAAACTAGTCCAGGTTTACAAATACATTAACTAACTATTGTTAGTCCAAGGACCTTGTTTTCTGAAATTTATGCAAATTGTGCTCATGATTACTTTTTTTCTTTGTGGTACTAACAATTTGTCTCCAAAGCATAGATACCTTTATCGTGTATTGTTGTGTAGTACTGAATCAAAAATATTTAAGAAACACATACTTACCTGAGGTCACAAGTGCAATGAGTTCTGCTGGTTTGTGATAATTCTGAAGATCCTAAGGCACTATAGTACAGCTAGCATTTAAGGACTCTGTGCAGAAGGAAGTAATTGTTGAATAGACCTCAATAGTGGCTCCAGAATTGCCAGAAATTAATGTTGTATGGCTACAATGCTTTTAATGAAGTATATAATAATTTTTTTCCTGTTTTTATGTGATATAGCTTCAATGGCTTTTAGACAACTATGAAACTGCAGAAGGAGTGAGCCTTCCAAGAAGTACCCTTTACAACCATTACTTACGACATTGTCAGGAGCACAAATTGGATCCAGTCAATGCTGCCTCCTTTGGAAAACTCATACGGTCAATCTTCATGGGATTACGGACCAGAAGACTTGGAACTAGGTTTGTGTTATTAAAATCCTGAATTATAATAGAAAATGCAAGTCATATTTATGACTTAGAAACTTGTCTGCTAGGCAAAAGAATAAATGAAACCAGTATTTAAATATTATAGTGTTTTTCTGCTAGTTCTGTTTCTTAATGTTAAAGAGTTCAATGCTATTTCCAGATGGTTTTATTTCTTCTGATTTTGACAGTTTATGTTTACATTTTGTAAACTATAGTGTAGGATTTTATCATTACAAATAAAACATAGCTTGCTGTTTGGAAGTCAGTAAGAACATTGTCTGTCCATAACTAGATAAGTTGTATTTATTGGCATTTTATTTTTCTTTCTCAAGTGGCATGCAAGTTAAAATGCTGGATAATATTTAAGAGAGTGAATTATTTTCCAAAGGTAGCAAAAGGACACCCAAGAGAGACAGGTGTGAATTTGGTGTGTTATTTTCCAATCAGTGTAAATTGTAAAGTAAATGTAATGTAGATGAATAAAACCAGTGTTACAAGTCTTTTAATTCTTGCTGTTTCATAAAGGGGGAACTCCAAGTATCATTACTACGGGATTCGTGTGAAGCCAGACTCTCCTCTTAATCGACTACAAGAGGACATGCAATATATGGCAATGAGACAACAGCCCATGCAGCAGAAACAGAGGTAAACTGTGAAACAGACATGGCTCCTTATTAATATTTCTAGTTCATAAACTCTTACTTTTCCTTACATGGAAAAGTTGAAATTCTAGTGCAACTTTTGTTCAGCTTCTCTGCTGTGGAAACTGGGTATCCAGTTGATGTCATTGAAGTTAGGTACAAGTCAGTGTGAAAGAATACTTACCTAGAAATTATCATAAAATTGCAAACAGGAATAATACTAAAGTGACCTATAATATGGACAGATTTTTCTTAATTCTATTGAGTTCTTCTTCCACTAGCTGAAGAAAAGCAGTAAGAGCTTGGATTTCAGATGTTGCTATTTGTTTCATTGGTTTATCATTTTATGTACACACTTCTTATCAGAGAACTTAATAATAAGTTGCTTGGTATTTACTTCCTCTGTAGAATTAATGTCACCATAATGGTTTGCCTGTAAGTTGATTTAAGTATTTTCCCTCACTATCTGTTGTTCCTGAGGGGTTTGTGAAAGCTCAGAAGTATCTGAAAGTAGTGGCACCGGACTGTACCAGTTGTGAAAGAATGTGTGCATATGCATATTAAACATTATGTTGAACAGGAAATTTTAGGAAAAAATGGAAATGAGTAAATTTCTTTTAAATTCATTTTTATTTGAGCAATGTCACTAACCTCCCATATTACCCTAAAGTAAAATATGTAAGATACATAATTTCATGAAACTCATAGGTAGAAGAGCAGCATTATCAAGCAAGACACCTTTAGAGCTATTATCCAAAAAAATCCAGTTGAATGAATGGTTTGGTATAGTGTGCCAAACATATTTTGTGGCCTTGGACACAATTGAGATATGAAAATTGAGATAGTTGGAGACCTGTCACTAGTGGTGTGCCCCAGGGTTTAATACTAGGCCCAGTATTGTTTAACTTAATTCACCCTTGACTTAGGCGATGGGACAGAGTGCTTCCTCAGCAAGTTCTCTGACGATATGAAACTGGGAGGAGTTGCCAGTGCCTCAGAGGGCTATCCTGCTCTTCAGAGGAACTTGAGCAGGTTGGAGAGATGGACAGAGAGGAGCCACCTGAAATTCAATGGCAAGTGCTCAGTCTTGCAGTTGGGGAGGAATACCCTTAACACCGGGTTGGGCACTGATGTGCTGGAAAGCAGGTCTGCAGAAAAGGACCTGGGGATCCTGGTGGACAACAAGCTGTCCATGAGCCCTCTCTGTGCTCTTGTAGCGCAGAAGGCCAATGGTATCCTGATATACATTAGGAAGAGCATTGCCAGAGGCATTCTTTTAACTTCATGTCATTTTGTTCCTCGATTACAAAATCACACATGACACTGTAGCAATTAGTGCATGCCTTTCCTTTAACCCATATTTCACATGTGCACACACATACATGCACAAGTGCACACCCACACACTGAATATGAATATGAATTCATACTCAATCCTAAGCTCTACTGCAAGAATATGTAAAGGTTGATGAAGGATGGGAACTACAGTACAAAATTATGTTCAGTAGGTCGTTGTTACATGAAAAACACTGTGCTATTGTATGCTTAGTGCCTAATTTCAGTGTTTGATATATGTCTAATGTATTTTTATCATTGTTATCTAAGTGTATTGAAGAATTTTAGTAGGCTTTATTAAGAGAGAACTAAAGGACTGAATATTGTAATTTCCATTATTATGTTGACACTGCTTTTTTTCAGCTTTATTGATGTTTCTAGTGATTCTTTTTTTTTGTTAAATTGGTGGTAAATTGCAGTTAACATACTTCTCTATGTAGTGATGCCATCTCTACCACCTCTATCAGCTATATCTAATTGGATAAACACTTTAGTCCTTTTTGGCAAAGGCTGTAGACTGAGTATATGCTACAGATAGTTTTTCTTCATTCCTTTTCTTAATTTGGGGATCATGCACTGTTTTTATTTGCATAACTTCAGTATCCCAAAGTGCGCTTGTTGGATTTGAAGTCCTTCATTATCCTCAGGCAGTATTGTTGTTTCTTCTTAGGGTAATGAAGCATTATTTTTTTTCAATTATAAATTATTGGGAAGTCAAGCTATTTGGAAAGGGATTGGTGTAAATTTGCTGGTCTTATGGTATGGTATTACTAAGCTAAATTCCACCAGAAATTGGTAGTGGTGCTGTAATTCACCTTTATGAATTCTGTAATGCCTTGTTAATACTCTATCTTACCTTAGTGATTGTTTCTTCTGTTATTACCAAAAAAATGAAAGTCTCTAAATTATTTTGTTGCTTTTCCTCAAAATTTTATTTTGAGATGGAGAAATTGGACTCTGTGATCCATTTATGAAGAAGTGAACAGAAGGATAATTCTGTACTTGTTATTTTTATAGATACAAGCCTATGCAGAAAGTGGATGGAGTTGCAGATGGCTTCACAGGAAGTGGTCAACAGACAGGCACATCTGTTGAACAAACTGTAATTGCCCAAAGTCAACATCATCAACAGTTTCTAGGTATGAAAGCAGGTTTTATAGACCTATATAAATGAGTAAGATGAAATTCACTATCACTCTGGATATCAAGTCATACAAATACAGTAGTTGATTCTGAAGTTATCACACCCTCTTCAAAATACTTAGTGATCCCTGGACAAAAAGGCACTTAATTTACATGTGAGCTTTATGTAATATTTAATACATATCGTGTAAGGACAAATAAGCAAATTCTGTATTTGTAAGATACACTTAATATTGCATAAATGCAGTTGTTTTGCAAAGTAATATTAAATGTGCAAATTGAAATTCCTGCTATGAAATTTGTTTCTTGCATGTACATTACAGTGCATTATATTTCATAAATGCAGGGGTAGGGGGATGGTACTGCATTGCTGTTACAGGTCGGCCATCCCCTGGGCTGTTTTGAAAGTGGGCCCTAGTGTTGTAAGTGGGAAGGGACAAATAGTTTCAACATGAACCCCACAAGTTGTGTATTCATTGATCCAATTAAGCACATACTCCAGTAGTAGAAACAAGTCGTAATTTAGTTAATTGCTTATGTAAAAAGACTCTTTGGCTGTGTTACTGGAGAAGGCATAGGCTTATTCAATTGGGATTTTCAAGCACCCAAATCCTTTGGCCATATTTTGCTTTTACTAAAATCACTTGGAGCATGACCATAACATTAAAACATTTTGAATCTTCCTTTCCAGGTACCTTTCAGTCCAGCATTTTTATCTTAACAGCTTGTCTCTTGGAAACATTTGTGACAAGTAGTAAAAGCGCACATTGGCTTTACTTGAATGTCTAGTAAATTTGAAGTACAAATCTATGTTGAGTCTATTAAGCCCCATTACACCTGGCTGCATATAAACTCCTCAGTTGAACAACTAAAAAAATCATTCAAGGATTGGTCATTCGTACACTGACTTGGTTATTTTCTTTCAACCAGTAATAGTCTGAAAAAGTGTATGTTAGCTTCTCTGTATAGGTGTAGCATGTACATGGCATCTTTTTAATGTCTTCAAGAATAATTTTGTATTTCTTTTTTATTAAAAAATGCTGGCTGAATTTCTGTATGATTTTAACATACAACAGATATGAAAGACTTTCCATCTTTGAATATTAAGACCTTTGGAATTTATTGCTATGTATAATCCTTACAATTTTTCTCAATCATACTGTAACTGGCACTGTTCACAACAACCCTCTTTCATTGTGTTGTCATGACAACAGATGCATCTCGAGTACTGCCAGAGTTTGGAGAAGTTGAAATATCTTCTCTGCCAGATGGTACTACCTTTGAGGACATCAAATCACTACAGAGTCTTTATCGAGAGCACTGTGAGGTATTTCCTATAAGCTATTTATTTTTGAAAGTTCATGACTTGTAGTGAAGGACAGTTCAAGCTAATAATGCCAAATACACTGCAGCCATGATAGTAGTATGTGACTTTCCCCCAGGATTTTTTACTTATTTCATTGAAAAGGATAGCAAAAAGGGTTTTCTGGAGGGTCTCCTTTACAGGGGAAAAGTACATAGTAGACACTGAGAATGAATTGTTGTGTGTATGTTTTCAGAATATTAGAGAAACTAGACTTTAGATTGTCCATGCAGATCTTCAGTTTAGTCAATAGGAAATGTTACATTAAAAGCTGTAATTTTCATTTTAAAAAAACATTGAGACATTTAAGCCACATGTGATACTATACAGTATGTCTCCTAACATTATTTTTAAGGGTGCTTTGAAGCCTATATGGAATTATGAAAATGAATAAAATGTCAAGTTTCTTTTTTTGTTTGCAGTAGCAGTAAATATTTTCTGTGGTTTAATTCCTTTGATATGTTTACACGAGCCATGCTCATTCCTGAGGCTTCCATGCATGTGCAGTTAGCCTTACTCAGGTCTCTGTGCACAGCAGTTTATAGTGCTGGATAATTTATGGATATCAAAGGTATTAAAATAGGTACCATTTATAATTTGAGAAATGTACAGTTTCCCTTTGCTCCACTAAGTGATGAAGATAAAAAAGCTGTAAATCTAGTTGGAGTTTGGGAGTGGGGGGAAGCTGGGTAAAAGATAATATGTTTTATTTTCTCAGGCAATACTGGATGTGGTTGTTAATCTTCAATTCAGCCTGATAGAAAAATTGTGGCAAACTTTCTGGCGCTATTCTCCCTCTGCTCCACCTGATGGCACTCCTTTTACTGAACCAAGGTCACTAAATGTTCCTTTTATACTGCATCTCATGATAATATAATACAAGTGTGAAATGAAAAAAAAAAATTTATTAGTTTTACTTGAATAGTGATAATTTTTCCTCCTATGATAATTCTCCAAATTAAATTTGCTGTCTGACATTTTTGTATAGCCTGGGTGTATGCCAGTTTATGTCTTGAAACAGTTGGGTTGTTTTTTTTTCACATGGACAACTTCAGTAAAGGTGTCTTTTTCCAGTATGTGATCCACTTTCTTTAAGCCTAAAGGATCATCTGTATGTCTGCACAATTTATGAGCTGCAGCAGAGCTGTGAAGGCATTTTTTAAATACATTTCCATGTGTAAAGAAGTTTTGTTGAGACATGTATGACATCTTTTAAAATAAATATATTTTTAACACCCATTGCTGGTTTTTACCTGCTGTAAATCATAGAATTGTAGAAGCTTTAAGGTTGGAAAAGACCTCTAAGATCATTGAGTTCCACTGTTAACCTAGCACTGCTATGTTAACTGCTAAACCATGTCCCCAAGTGCCATAAATGCATTATCATTTATTCACATGATACATTTTTTTTAACACCAGCAATCTGAGTGAAATAGAAAGTCGACTTCCAAAAGCAAAGCTGATTACTCTGTGCAAGAATGAGTCTATTCTGAAATGGATGTGTAACTGTGACCATGTGATGTACCAGGCTTTGGTGGAGATTCTTATTCCTGATGTCCTTAGACCTATTCCTAGTAAGTTGAATACCTGAAACTTTCTGCATGCATGTATATGGCTGTGACGTACTTGTGCCACACAGGACAGCTTAAGGAATAAGTTTGAATGTTACAGAAGTACTGTGTATCTTTTATCCTTGACTTCTTTTTGTGCAAGAAATTGTGCTGAGAATTGACATATGCTTTGTATTTTAAATGTATTTGAGGATTTTAATGCAGTTGAAAGATCTAGTCTTCAAAATACAGTTCCATATTAAAGGTAATTCTTTCTCTGTGTTGATCTTCAGGTAAAAAAGTTTTCCTTTTACCCTGACTCTAGGCTACCTGATGCATAGATGTCCTGTGGCCCCGAAGCAATGTGCACAAATGTCAGTCAGTCCTTCCACTAAATTCAGTATTTTTCAGTTTAAACATCACCTACTAATCTTTGATTAATCTGGGGGAAAAAAAAGTGATCTTTGCAATGTTTGTCATGTTTGGACAGTTAGTCTTTTGGTCCTTATCAGTGACAGCTGAAGTCAATTCTAATGACTGTTAAAGCAGTGAAACTCAGAAATTTTTAGTCCAATTTATTATATCAATCTATTGTTCTTTCTGTCATGCATCCTGCACAAAAGAGTCAGTAATTGTCCAGTCATTCAACCATTACCAAGAGTGCAGCTTTATTTTTAAATTTAATTGTACTAGAATCCATCATTGCTCCAGCACTGTATTTTTATGGCTATTTTGGGTAGAACTTACGTGAAGAAAGTTGAACTCCCTCATAAAGCATTTGTTGTCTCACATAAGCTGTCCTAAATATTATAAAGAAATTATGTTAGCAACCCACTGTAAACTTCATACCTCCTACATGTTATTTCCTTCCCCTGAAAGAACAGTATTCACTTGATAAAGTTGGATTAATATATTTTTTAAAAGTGAGGGCCTTAAGTAACTTTGCAACTGACAAAGCTATTTTGTCATGCTATTAACACCTCTTCTGCAATAGTGACTCCAGCGGTCACAAGCACTCCATAAGAATATTTGCAGGTACTGCCTTGCAGAAACCTTTTACTGACTTCTTGCTTGTCAGTGGAAGAAAATTAGGTTGTAGGAAATTATGTATGATTTTTAAAAAAATTGAAACAGGAAATGTGCAAAATATAAAGGTTTGCCATTTACAAAACAAGGTTTACCTTTTTTTAAGGAAAGAGCAAATTTTTGGTAGAGATTGACATAATTTATTTGTGCATCTATACAGCAGAAGGAAAAGGTTTTCTCAAATACATGCAATGATGGACAACCATTACTTGTATAAATACTTTACATTCATTTATATTTGATGTTTTACTTCTCTAATGACAACGTCACTAGGTAGGATTTTAGAGTAATACAATGTATCACAAGTGGTCAGGCAATGATTACAAAGTCCACAAATTTAATTACAACATTTAATAGGTTGAATTAAAGCTCTCACTTGCAAAAGCACATTATTTTCTGCATAAAAGGTGCTGCAGACATGTTTTTTCATCAAACCTGCTTTTTCTCTTCCTGTTCACTTTCCTTTCCTGCACAGCCTTGCAGTTTCTTAAAAAAGTGTTTATGTGGTATCTTCCTGCCTTGTTTCATAAAATGCATTGGGTATTGCCAGTAAGGATTTCAAGAAAGTGGGTCACAGTCATTCACTATGAATAACCATATACATCAGGTCCTTTTCATGCTATTTCTTTCTAGAATTACCAGTCATATTTGAATAATTGATAGCTACTGTTTGACATTCCTGTTTTGGGAATGATTATCGGACTTTTTGATGCAAACACATTATCTGATCCCAGTGCAATTTCATCCCAAGAGACTTTTGCCTCGTTTTGTGAACAGTCCAGTGGTATTCTGCTCAGAAGTCCACTTGCTGAGCTACCTTTGGAAAACATCTAATATATTTTCTTACTTTAGGGTCAGCTAACTAAATGGCTTTGTCTAGTCAGCGTGACTGTAATGATGGTCCCTGCATGTTTCTTCTTCACTATTAAATGTTTAAAATATTATTTTTTAACTCCTGCTTTTGAATAAAAGCATCTTCAGTCATTACAAGAGATGGGGAGGATGGCTAAAGTTTGACTATGACAACAGTGGAGCTCGGCGAAGCAAATTCATCATCCTCTGTGGAAAACAGCGGTTTGTAAGAAAGTTTGACCTCTGTAGAGGAGCTGGGACTGTAAATGCTTCATTAAAAGCATATTTATTATTTCTTTTCTTGAGTAAATGGAAAGATATTGGCAGTGGCTGCTCAAAATAGAGAAAAATATTATTTTTAAAACGGCTTGAAGAAAGCATATGATTTTTTAAAGTTTGAGGGTTTATGTTTAGATTTTCAGTGTTTTTATTTTAGACAAGTCTTACTGTGCTGCCCAGCTGTGGGATACGTATTACTGGAGTAGAAAAAAATGACCGTTAAGCAAAAAAATTTCCTTTTTAATCCCTAAGTTAAATTTGTCAGCTGAAATGTTTAGCACCCACAGAATGAATGAAAAATTGCCATGTATAAAACAGAAAAATTATTTTTCCTAAGAAGAGAGAAATGCTGTTCATTAGAGTCAGGAATAAAGATCATAATTACCTAATGTTTTTGGCAATAGACCAAGGTTTTAGAATGGAATTTTTTTAGGTTTTAGAATGGACATTTTGCAGCTTCACAAGTGACAGAATGGACAGTAACTAATTACTTGTGAGTTAATTTCTGATAGGTGAGGAATTGATGCAAAACATACTTCCACACTGTATTGCAGAATTCCAGGTAGACAGAAACGTGCTGGAGAGACAGTAAAACCTAGTTTTGTACAAGTCAGAGGGTTTTCAGCTCAGAAGTCAAGATTTTTAGGTGCTAATCAAATTAAACCTTGTATCAGTAACTGCCATTCCACATCATTTGGTGTGTGTCCAGTAACATTTAACAGTCCAAGGACATTTACTTTACACCATGCTGATCATGCAAAAATTCTTTCAAAAAGTTTTCTTCGTTTACTACTGTAGCCAGATGAACTTGAAAGAAGGTGTCAAGTATGTATGTACTTAAAGTTTTGGTAATGGCTAGATGTGTACTTAAGGATAGAGTATGAGGAAAAATTCTTTATTTCCAAAGCTCATTAGAAATTCATGGTTGTTGTGTACTACACAGATGCCTGATTATCTACTTTAGGTAATTTATGTCTTCAGAACTTAGAATTCCTTTTATTTGTTGCATTTTCTTCCTAATTAAAGGCCTTTCATAAGGCCTGAGCTGCTTTTCCCTATTTATTTTTGAAGATCAGTATTACAGTGATGCAAATCATATACTTGGGTGAAAAAGAGCATTAAGCACATTAGATGTAAAAAAGCAGTAATATTTTCCTTAAATGTCTAAGTACCATTCATACAGTATTTATATTATTACTTTCACTTTGCATTTTCTTGTCTTGTTCATAAGAAAATGTGAGTGAATACACAGTCAGTAAGTGCACAGAAATAATTTACAAAGCAGCACAAGTGAGCTAGGTGATGGACTGGGCTGAAGAAAAAACATTTGTTCTTCACGTGTAAACATCAAGGGAGAAAAAAAAAAACTGATACCATAAAGAGGGCTGAAGTAATACAGATACTTTATAAGATCAGACTGTGCTCAGCTAAGCATCCAAATGTGTGGTGAGTTATGCAAGTTACCAATATGGATTCTGCTGCTTATCACTGCAAATCTGAAGATCTGTAAAAAAGATATTACAAAGAATGTCGTTTTCCTCTAAGTATGTTGTGGGAACTTGCCTGTCCGACCATCCAGGAGTTGCTCTAGCAGGCACTGCACTGGGACCAGAGCTCCCTGGCAGTGACACACACCCCATGCTCAAACAGTCACACCAGGCTTCCCTTGGCCCCATCGCAGAGGCTCAGACGTCTTGATCCATAAAATGATTTAATCGTGGTGTAGTAACTAAATAGCAGAATAACAGATCAAGCTAGTGCTGCCGAGGAGGGACCCCAAACAAAGCAACCCCTGAGCTTTTATACCCTTAGAGTCTAGGCACGGGAAAGTCTGGGGATCGTCAGTTCCTGCTGTGTCCGTGAGTGTCCCTGTCACCTGGCTGGGACACAGGTCCCTGAGCCCTCTGTTATGCAAAGGGTCAGCAGCTCACAGCCTCTTGCCTGGGACTCCTCCACCCAGAGCTTAGCCTGCAGCTCACACTGCAGCTGCACACCAAGCTACCCGCACGGAGTATATTTCTCAGCAGGTAACTTTACTTTCTGGTAGAAAGCTTTATTATAAAACATATTATTAAAAAAGGCCTTATTAAAAAAGATAGTATTTCCTCTTTTTTTTTTTCCTGTTCACTTCTGTAGTTGCATTCACTCTCTATTAGTCATCAGAAAGCTGTAGTTTTTTTCTTTTTGATCCTACTTTTTCCAGCAGTTTGAGTGGTTGCTATTATGTCAATGAGCAAGTGTTAGGTGTGAGAAAGCAAGGTTTCTACCACTCAAAAGATATTTTTTTCCAGTCTCAGTTCCTTGGGACAGTACTTCCTGTCCTCTTCCTTTGCAAAAGTAAAACTTCTGGTTTTAGTAGTGCAGAGTGCTGTAGAGACTTCTTCAATTTCTCTCTAATTCTCTGTCAGCCACTCAGGATTTCTCTGGATGCTGTAGAACAGAAAAATGCACACAGATTCCAGTCATTTGAATAATCTCACTTTCTGTCAGTGAAACACTTCTATATTTTGCTTGTGGATGATATCCTTAAGCACTGCATGCTGGACTTCATTCTTCAAAACTGAAATAAGCAGCACTGTAACATGGCTTAAGGTTACTTTGGACTTATTTGAGGAAACTGCAGTATTCCAATAACATGATTTTTTTTTACCAGAGTGTTGCTTTGTAAAAGAGGTGCTTAGATGAAATAGAAAACTGAAACTTTGTGATGAAAATTTCCATCACAGCAACTGCTGCATTTACTGTGGTTCATCTACAGAAGTGCCCAAAACAATGCTGTTGGTCACAAACTTCTTGAAAGATTATTATGTGAAGAAGTCAGAACTGCTTGTTATATCAAAACTAAAGTCATTATTGCATAATCTGTATCTGAATGAGACATTTTGAACATAGGACTGGATTTGTCTTTTAGTAAGTAAAAGCAGCAGACCTGAATGTTGAATACAGGAGTACTAAGGATGAAAAACACTTCAAGACAGGTGCACTGCTTTCTTTTAATTCTGTTTTTATTCTCTAATATACAGGTGCCTTGACCCAAGCCATTCGCAATTTTGCAAAAAGCCTTGAAGGTTGGCTTTCAAATGCCATGAACAGTATTCCACAGAGGATGATACAAACCAAGGTAGACAAAACTGTTGCAG